TTTTTTTTTTTTTTTTTTTTTTTTGTTCCCCTGCTCTTAGTCCCCGCCGCAGTCGCGGCGGGCATCATCTTGTTTTTTTTATGTATGATAGTGCGGATGGAATTTGCTGTCTGTCTGAGAGTTGTGTGAGATTTCAGCAGTTGTTCATTTGAGAGGTTCGCAGAAGGGTCGCACGGCCCCCGTCTTGCAAGATTTCTTCGTGATCTCAGCAGTTATTCATGGTTCACTCCAAAAAAAAATTGGGAGGCTCTGCGGCCTACAGGACCACAATGGCTGAGGGCCTGTCTGAGAGCTCTGCGTGATTTCAGCAGTTGTTCATTTGAGAGGTCCGTAGAAGGGTCTCACAGACTGGTGACTTCAATCACCAGTACACAGCCCCAGTCTTACAAGATTTTTTTCATGGGCTCACTCCTAAAATTTTGGAGGTTGGGGGCTACAGGACCCCATGGCTGGTGGCCCCAGCCAAAAAGGAAAAGAAAATTGCCCCGTTGGCAGTTCGGCAAAGCTGGGTGGGCCGCCAGGCCCGGGTGTAATGGTGGTTTAAAACTTTAAACGACTACCATTTTCACCTGAATAGAACGCCCGGTCATAGTCCTTCGGGACATCCGTCAAAATTGGAATGATACAGAGAGAATGGAAATTAGCATGGCCCCTGAGCAAGGATGACTCGCATAAATCGAAAAATGGTCCAATTTTTTTGACATTTTTTTTTTATTATTATTATTATTATTATTTTCAAAGAGCGCCCGGTCATTATCGCCGCATTTGGACTGAAAAATGCCCTATACAGCTATAATCGTCGGGCGTTATATTCAGGTGACTACGGTAGTACATGGCCCCAGCCTTGCAGTCTGAAACTTGTCGCCAGAAGAAAACTGAAGGGGCCGGAACGTCAAACGCTGGGCCTGCCGTTGATAAATTGGATCGGCTGTCACATTTCACATTTTCGTTTCGGCCCTCCAGAATTCGAGGTGTCAGGCCCGCGGCCCAGGTGCCCATGTACTGGTGCTGTAAGCTATGCTTTTTTTTTTTTTTTTTYTTTAAATGGGAACAAGCCTCAACAAGGCTCCAATCTATTCGTGGGGAGCAGCACGTGCTGGGAACCGGGCCCAGCGACCCATATGAAAGTTGACATAGAATTTTGAAAGAATTTTGAAGTTTAAGATCCCGGGGCTAAGAAGAATTTAATCTACTGAGAAAAATACTAAAAAACTTCAGAATAGTCAAAACTCAGAAAACAACTCAGAGGCCCCCCCACTATATAGGTAACCGTTCCAATAGCAGTGGATAGTATAGTAAAAAAGGACACTGAGTCCATGCTATCCACTCGCAGCTGCTCCTGGAACCTATAGTAGGAAGGACACTGCGTACCCATGTACTGGTGCTTTAAGCTATATATAGGTTCCAATAGCAGGTGCATAGTATAGTCAAAAGGACACTGAGTCTATGCTATCCACTCGCAGCTGCTGCTGGAACCTATAATAGGAAGGATGCTGCATACCCATGTACTGGTGCTTTAAACCACCAGTACTTGGCCCAGCTATGGGCCGCGGAAAAAAAAATGGAGTAGAAACGTTTCTAGTTGGATGAAGTTGGGCGCTCCTGTAGTGGCCCGTATGTTTCCTAAAATTGTGGCGTCCCCGAAACATAAAATTGTGGCGTAACGGGGACAACTTTCGGAAGTACGTGTGGTTAAAAAAAAAAAAAAAAAAAAAAAAAAGAAGAAGAAGAATCAGATGCCAGCAAAAGAAAACAGAAAAAGGGTCCAGGAAGAAAAAAAAATAACAGAAGGCACGGTCATTATTATAGCTGTATTTGGTTCAACTTGCAGCCTTGATATGCCGATAATAAATGGGAATTCTAAAAAGGAAAAAGAAGAAAGAAAGAAAGAAGAAGAAAAAGAACCGCTTCTGCCTTGACTGGAGGCACCCAGTTAGACTCCTCGGCAAAGGTGGTCGGTGGTGGCACTGGTGGGTACGCAGTGTCCTTCCTACTAGTATAGGTTCCAGGAGCAGCTGCGAGTGGATAGCATAGACTCAGTGTCCTTTTGACTATTCTATGCACCTGCTATTGGAAGCTATATAGTATAGCTTAAAGCACCAGTACATGGGTACGCAGCGTCCTTCCTATTATAGGTTCCAGCAGCAGCTGCGAGTGGATAACATAGACTCAGTGTCCTTTTGACTATACTATGCACCTGCTATTGGAACCTATATAGTATAGCTTAAGATGCCTTCTCCTCATCGAGGGACAGCCATATATTTTTCTCTCACCTCACATATCTTTTTTTCTTTTTTTCCCAGAAAGCAGCCACGGAGGCAGCTTGAGGTGCTGGTAGGAGCAGTCACTTCAAGCTGGTCCAGGGGAGGCTCCATCTATTGGTGGGGAGCAGCACCTGCTGGGAAACGGGCCCAGCGTCCCATCTTACAAATGTCACAGGATACACACTATTACACAGTAATTGTACATATAGACCGCCTGATGCCGGCCTGATGCAGGCGTACATTGTCCACCGTATAGTGCGTCTGGTGTGACTGTTTGTATGTGGGTCTGGTGTGTATGTGTTGTGTATGTTTTAATGAATATAGAACAGTAGCTTAGTGCTGACTGTTGTTGCATTTAGCAACTTTGGACTACTGTAATGCTGTAGTGAGTCCTAAGTCCAAGTGTTTGAACTGCATTTCCCGGTGCCACATTTCTATATTCAATTCCGCCGTTCTGCCATGTCATCATGGACCACATATCTTTCTTTTCACTACCTCCCTACCACTACTCCTAAGGCTATACAGGGGACCCCTGCAAGCATACCCTTCTCCCTCTCTTCGGTGAAGGGAGGTTAGCTCTCTCCGTGGAGCGGGGTAACGCCATGTTTGCCATCTCATTCAATTTCAGTTCCTTCCTCTTTTTTTCTTTTTGAAATTCCCTGTATTCAAAGGACGGCCCCAGTGCCCAACGCAGTACACACATAGTTCACAACACACACAAAAAGCAGAACAAGGGGTCACTCGGGGCCAAGCCTCACCCCAGGCAATGCCATGTGGAAAGTGACGGAAAAGAAAGTTACAAAACCACAGCAGCTGCTGCAGAAAGCTACGAACTACCGTAGGTCGGCTCCAAACGAAAAGGGAAGGGGGCCAAAACCAGTCCGAGTCCGCGCCTTCAAAGGGTCTCTACATCATTTTCAATTTTCAGTTCGTTCTTTTATTCTTGTCTTTTGGAACTTCAAACCCCGGATTGTGATCATTGAACAGTGCAGTGGCAGCTTTTGAACCCCCCCCCCCCCCCCCCC